GCAGGACGCCACGCAGCTCCGGGAGCTCTTCTGTGGCCTGGTGAGAGGCGCCCGAGTGCGGCGGGGAGCCGGGGCTGGGCCGTGGGAGGGGAGCATCGCACAACGCGGTCGGTGCAAGGAGCTCATAGCTCACCTCCGTCGCCCTCCTGTTCCCCTCCAGCCCACAGCAGATGGGGTGGGTACATCAGCCCACGATCGAGAGGTGGCTGTTACGCCTGGGCAGTTGTGAGGCCAAGATGGGAGGAACTGGCTGGATTAGGGACTCGGGGACCATCCACCCTGCCCAGCGCAGGTTGGTGAGGCCGCACAGCCTCGTCTCGCCTTGGGGCAAGCCAGCGCCCATCAGTGGGACACGCTGAGTGGGGAGACACCAGCCGCAAGGGGCCAGGTCTCCACGTGGGCACTGGGCCACGTCTCACCGGCCACCGCGGTGGCCTCCTCCCTCCCGGTCTTGCACGTGGCCGCTCTCCCTCCCAGGGTCTGGACCGGAGCCAGCAGAGCCTGGAGGCCGTCTTTGCCCTGCGGGAGCTGATCTGCCTCAAAGACCCGGCACTACTCAGCCTGGAGGTGCTGGGCTTCATCACCAAGTACCCCGACGTCAGGTGAGAAGCCCAGCTCTGCTCTCCCGCGAGACGGGGTAGGGCTGAGTCTGCCCAGGGGAGCCAGGCTTGGGCTGGACCCCGTGAGGTTACGCTGCAGAGCAGGCAGAAACCTGGGCTTCCCCCCCCCCCCCCCCCCTGCAACTCCTCTTCCCATGCTCCAGATTCGAGGGGTTCTTGCAAAGTCCCAAGGGCAAAGATGTAAAGGAAAAAGCAGTTCTGCTGTGGCATTCACCCGTCTGTATTTGGTGGCCAAAAAAAGTGTGAGAAATCACAAAACACCAAATTGGAAATGTCAGAATCGGCCGAAACCCATGAAATGTCAAAACCGAATTCGTAAGGTTTGTGGGGTTATTTTTCAAGCAAATTTTAAAAGTGTGGCTGGCGCGAAGTACCAGCTCTCCCCTGGCCTCAGCTCAGCTTCTCCGGACCGTGGGAGGTTTGCGGGACGGGAGCAGTGCGAGGGCCCTGCGGGTGGTGCCGTGGGCCAGCTGCCCCCGGACTCACCCCTTCCTCTCTGCCCAGCGATGAGCACATCTCCACCTTGCTGGATCTGCGGGGCGACGTCTCCAAGGAGGTGCGGCACATGGTGCTGGAAATGATGGCGCAGCACCCCCAGGTCCTGCCCGAGAGCTACCGGCCCATCTTCAGCACCATCCTGGTCCCCGCGCCGGAGCTGCCCTTCTGCCTTCGCAAGGGCAAGTGTGCCTGACACGGCGCCCCGCAGCCTGCTCCCCGCTGCCCCCACAGACGTACGGACCACGCAGGGCATCTCTGAGGCTGCGTGTGGGGAGAAAGGAGATGACACACGGCATCCCCTGCGCGCAGCACCTTGCCCTCTGTTGGGGACTGTCTGCACACATGCTGTCCTCCTCTGATCCTGCCGAGCCGAGCCGGCTGTCCCCCGCAAGCACCAGCCCCAGGAGACCTGGGTCAGGAGGAAAAAAAATCGACCCATAGCTATTTTGCTGGCCTGCAGAGGCAGTAATTGCGGGCTGCTCAGGTCTGGCCCGTTGCCTGCGGGAGAAAGAGGAACCGCAGAGCAAAGGGCAGGAGTCCGCAGCTGGGGTGAGTCTCCGTCTCCGTGGGGCTGCAGAGATAAGTGGGTTTCCCTGAGGCTCCAGCCAGCCGCCTGAGCCGGCGTGTCCTGGCCGTGGAATCTGTTACCACCCCAGCTCCAAGGCAGACTGGAGCCTTGCTAGACCCAGGCTTGCAGGAGGGTTTTAGCCATGGGAGGTCTTCCCAGAGGTCTGGTGTTGCTGCTCCACTGGCCTGGGCCCTGCATGGACGGTGGAGAGCAGCTCGGCCAGCTCATCGTGGCCGACGGCCGCGGAGGAGAAGGGCACAATGGGGTCTCACCACCCTGGGTAGTGCCACCAACCCGATTCCTGCCGGCGTGAAGGGACAGCTCTGAGATCCCGCTGACCCGCCCAACTCCTGGCCCCGGCTCTCTTGCCAGCATCCAAGACAGGACTGGAGTCCAAGACTCTCCGGCCTCTTGGAGAGCGTGAACTGAGTGGTGTCTGGTCTGTCAAGCATCCTCCTGGCCCAGCTTCCTCCATGACGGGCAGCACCGCCCCGGGTGCTGGCTCTCCCTCCATCCTCTCCTGCTGTCCGGCCCTTGGTCATCTCCTCGCCAGGTGCCATGGGAAGATCAGGAGCAAAGCCTCTCTCTGTGCCTGCAGCCTTGTGCCCAGCCCCTGCAGCACCCTGGGAGACCTCCCTGCTCTGCCACGCTTCCTGCCTTGTGGCGGGCCTGATCCTGCTGTCCTCGCGTGGCACCGCTGCCAGAAATAAAGGCCTGAGCTCTGCAATCACTCGCCAGCGTCCAGGCTCTGCGCCCCGGTGGGTCAGGGTGGGGAGGAGG